ACATCAGCCCAAGGGTGTTGGCCTAGTGACCAGTACTAGGGGTGGAAGCATCAAGGCATAAATCCTGACACATCTGACAACACCCTGGGGCAGGCACAGAGGCCCTCTGTCCCCTTCCTGTCTCCACCCTTCCTGGTGTGTTTCACAGGGTCAGAGTAGCTGGGGTGGGGAGGACAAGTACATAAACCTTGGCCCCTCCAGGCTGGACCAACCTTGAGCTTCCAACCTGATAAATGGACTGAGAGGAGGACAAGGCCTACCCCAGCACTGACCTTTTAGGGCTGGAGTGAGAGAGCCACAGAGCACTGAGCTGCACTGGGGACCCTCGGGGGCCTGTGTGGAAGCAATAGCAAAACCTCCTACACACCAAGGAGCATACAGAGAGGAACCTGGAGCAGGTACTTCAGGTATAGAGGTGCAGAAAGGTCACAGATAGGCCCTAGCCTGGGACCCCACCCCCACCCCAGCTGCTGCCATCACTACCACCCAGCCACATTCCTTCCTTCAGCTCTGGTTCCAGCCTGCAGAGTTGGACAAACTCTGATCACCTGAATGGCTGGAAAGGACCTAGCCTTACTCTCAAGCAGCTCATGGGCAGATGGGGGGAGTACACAAACATGTTTGTTTATTCATTCTACGAACATTTATTAGTGCTGACTTAATGCTGTACTTGGTGCTAAGTGCTAGGGAAGCACAGATAATGAGTATGTGAGTAAATTCTGAAAAGGGCTACCCCACAGGGATGTGTGAGGCAGTGGGGGTACAGAGCAGGGATATGCCAAGTCTGTGTGCAATGATCAGAGTGGAGCATTGCAAGATGAATAGGAGTTTGCCAGGCACTCCAAGCACAGGGAACAGAATGAGCAGAGGCATGGAGGTGTGAAGATGCTTGAAGGGAGCTAGAAAGGGCTAGTGGATGGGGTGGCTGGAGTGCAGGGAATGGACAAGGAGTGATGCCCATCTGTGGAATCTGAACTTGATGCTGAGGAGATGGGGAGTCACAGTGAGATTTACACAGGAGAAGGGACTAAAGCTGCCTCCTCTGCTAGTTCAGCCTCAGACACCTTCCTCTCACCTCCGGACATGGCAAGCCAGGACACTCAGAAAAACCAGGTATCCTGCCCTTCATTATCCCTGGCTAGACTACTGTGTGGCCTGGGCAAAATATTCAACCTATCTGGGCCTCCGTTTCTGCATTTGTAAAATGAATATGATCATGGAAAGAAGAATGAGTTTGGTAAATCAAAAAGACTACACATGTAGCCCATCTCTCTCAGAGGAGGCAAGGCAGACCCCACTCCCAGACCACTTGCTAGCCCTAGGAATATCCAGGCAAGATCTCTGAGGGCCAGTCTGAACATGGGGTTATAGCTCAGGTGACTGCCAGAACCCAGGCATTAGAGATCAGAACGCCCCTACACACAAACATACACACACACACATATCCAGAACAGTAGCCACCTACCCCCATCTCAGATGCACTCCCACTCAGGTTCACTCGGCCACAGAAACAAAAGAAAGGACCACTGATACACTGTAGGCCCCATAGGGTAGCACTTGTCGTAATGTGCTCGGGAGAGTCCGTTTACACCCACTGTCTCAGACTATCTACAGTGCTTCACTTCTCACTCAAGTGTGCAGATCTAGACAAATTATATGGTCTGCTGCCTCATACTGGACACTTGTTAGTGTCATTTTTCCTCTTGAGAGGGTTTCTCAACCACCGTGTGTACATGCATGTGCATGTTTGTGTGCATGTGGTTTGGGGTGCATTTGCATGCATGTTTGCATGTACATGCATTTGTGTGTGCACGTGTGCATTTGTGTGGACCTATGCACATATTTGTGTACGTGTGCATGTGCCAGAGGTGCCTTTGGCAGTCTAGAGGAACCTGTACGTTTTTAAATGCCAATTACATTGAAATTATATAATTATCAAAAATCCTAAAAAGTCTAATATGGCACTATGTGGCCTTCTTTCTTAACACAATGAATAATGTGGTCTAGCAGCAGCTCTAACACTCATGGTGATTTAAAAGTACTGATGAGGGTAGCTTCATAGCACATCTGCTTTACACACAGAAGGTCCTGGTTTCACGGCCCAGGTGGAATCACGGACCATACCCCAGGTGCACTGGCTCCGGCTGCGCCTGGCCCCGAGTGCACCTGGGAGGAGTTGCCCCGCCTTCAGAGATCCAGTTCTTAAGGGGAAACGGCAACATCCATAGGTTAGGGGTGGAAGTGGGGGTGGGAATTAAAGGAGGGAGGGGATATACTGATGAGCATAAGCAATATTTTGAGATATGTGAAATGTGATGTGAACACAGTTAATGCTACTGTGGTTTGTTGCCTGCATAATTAAAGGAAATGCTATGTTTCTATTAGGAGTTAGTGACAAACAAAAGATGTCATTTTTGCACATCTATACTCATAATCCCCTGATTTCTTTTCAGGTCCTGGGAGCAGCTCTAGGACCCAGCCCTAGCTCTGCCCTGCACACACCACTCCCCCATCTGCACCTACGCAGCAACCTGCAGTTCTGTGAGCTACAGTCAAGTGTCGCAGAATACATTCATGGCTTAGAGGAGCCTCTGCAAACCCAGACTTCACTTCGACCCTGGGTCGGCTCCACAAAGCTCTAGGGACAGCACCCAGTCTTCTTGCCCACCTCCTGCAACTCGATTTTGTACATGCACCCCTACTCTGCACCTCGGAACTTCCACTGCTTTCAACACCTCACAACTCAGTGGCCTTGTGCATGCTGGTTTCTCAACCTAGAATGCCCACCCTGCTTCTCTACTTGGGTAACTCTCCCTGGACTTTCAAAGCCCACAGGAGGCAACACATCCTCCAGGAAGACTTCTCTGGTGCCAAGGTAACAGCCCCTCAAAGTGTCCACAGCCGCCTGCACCTTCCTCACACCATTGCAGCGACTGTCCAACTCCCACCAGACTGTGAGTGTCCAGAGGCTGGGTAAGACAATTCGATGAGCTATTTTTCTTAATAGACTATCTTTCAGAGTAGTTTTAGGTTCACAGCCATATTGCATGGCAAGTAGAGTTCTCCTATACCTCTTCCCTCCACACGTGCACAGTGTCCCCTAGCATCAATATCCTCCACCAGAGTGGCACATTTGTTACCATCGATGAACCTACATTGACACACCATCATCACCTAAAGTCCATAGTTTACATGAGGGCTCACTCTTGGTGTACATTAGGTGAGTATTAAAAAATGCATAATGACATGTGTCCATATTTATAGTTTACAGTTTCACTGCTCTAAAATTCCTCTATGCTCCACCTATTCATCCTTCCCTCCCCCCAACTCCTGGCAACCACTAATCTGTTTATTGTTTTCAGTTTTGCCTTTTCCAGAATGTCATACAGTTGGAATCGAACAGTATGTAGCCTTTTCGGATTGGCTTCTTTCACTTAGTAATGAGTTTAAGTTTTTCCATGTTTTTTCATGGCTTGGTAGCTCATTTCTTTTTAGCACTGAATAAAATCTCATTTTCTGCATGTACCAGACTATCCATTCACTTACTGAAGGTCATCCTGGTTGCTTCCAAGTTTTGGCAATTATGAATAATGCCGCTATAAACATCTGTGTGGTTTTTGTGTGGATGTAAGTTTTCTACTCATATGGGTAAATACCAAGGAGTGTGATTGCAAGACTGTAAGGTAAAAGTATGTTTAGTTTTGTAAGAAACTCCCAAACTGTCCTCCAAAGTGGCTATACCATGTTGTAGTCCCACCAACAATGAATGAGAGTTCCTGTTGCTCCATATCCTCACCAGCATATGAGGTTGTCAGTGTTTGAGATTTTGGCCATTCTAATAGGTGTATAGAGGTATCTCCTTGTTTTAATTTGTATGTCCCTGATGACTTATGATGTGGAGCATCTTTTCATGTCCTTATTTACCATCTGTAGATCTTTGATGAGATGCCAAGGTTGTTGGCCCATTTTTAAACCAGGTTATTTATTTACTGATTGTTGACTTTTAGAAGTTTTTGTATTTTTTGGACAACTGTGTTTTTTCAGCTATGTCTTTCACAAACATTTTTCTCCCAGTTTGTCCCTTGTCTGCTCATTTTCTTGAGCAATGAACTTTTGCAGTCAAGAAAACCTAGACTCAAATCTGCGATGTTATGCAAGTCACATGCTTTCTCTAAGCCTCAATTTCCACCTCTGTAGAGAGGAAGAGATGCCTCCGTCCCAAGTGTTAGTAGGATGAAATGATATCTTAGTGATGCAGAGCCCCCAGGCACAGAGGCTGCTGGTGGAACTGAGTCATCTCTGTTCTCTGGGTGGTCCCTTTGCCCACAGTCCCGCCACTAAAGCACTTGGCCATTAATGGTGGTCCCATCCATGGCAGAGGAGGCCAGCCCAGGTCAGTAAGTCCATTTGCTAAGAAGATTCTTGTGGGTGGGAATTCTTGGGCCCACAAGTAGGGCAGAGCCAACCCCAGGAAGAATATAGCCTTGGGGGCAGGGACACGCTTGCTGTTCAAGGGATGGCTGGCCACTCTGCCAAAGTCAGGGCACCACCTAGGCCTCATCCCTCAAGGACCACTCCTCACTCAGCATCCAGTGCTCTTCCCATCTGGCTTCCCTCAGAACTCCTGCTCCTGCTCCCAGTATACCCTTCCCTCCAACCACACTGGGCCATGGGCACGGCCTCTAGTGCATCCCATGAAGTACCATGGCCCTCCTTGCTACAAGAAACATCTTTCCCCTGTGGTCCACCTGTCCAAATCTATCCTTCCCTGTTGGTAGTGGGCAGAGCTGCTGAACTAGGGCTGAAAGCCACAAGGGGGCACCATTGCCCTGAAGATGTATCCTAACTCATCTAAAATGTTAGGAGCACCCTCCATCCTACTGGTTTGTAGAGCAACAGGAAGGGGAGAATGCCTGTCTCACGAAATCATGGAATCTGGACAAGACAGAACTTCAAAGGCCCCACCCCACGTCCGCACCTCCTAGGCCCAGCTCACACACCTCCAGTGCCAGGTTGCTCACCTTCAGCTTCCCAGCCCATCACAGGACAGCTTTTCCTGTAAGAAAAGGGCTTTGCAGTGATCTGGGTCTATTTTGCAGAAACCAAATATTTTAAGAAAACAACTTTACTTTGGGGAAAAAAAAGAGAAAGCCTGGGGTTTCCAGAAAACCTCAAAACTTAAAAATTTATGTGAAAATTCTCAATGTTTACATGTTGTCTCAAAACTCTTCTAAATATTATGCCATCCTTGCAAGCAATGGAGCATGTGGACGTTGGCTTGCCAGATGGGGCCCTGGTTTGTGTGGCTCAGTGACTTAGATGAAGCAAGCCTTTGTGCCTGTGTGGTGCTCAGACACCCCCACCTGCACACAGACCAACAGCATCACATGCCCCTCAGCTTGGCACATGTTTGGAAGTGAGAATCGATGGCCACTCAGTGGCCACTAAAGTGACGACAAGCAGGGCCATTCCTATTTCCATTCCTTGGATTCCAGACAGCTTATCCTTCCTTAGGAATAGTTCCATATGAGGTGTCAGGTTTACTGTGCTGCATTAAACAGGGTGGCACCCCATTGTTTTGTAGTGTTTCACTCAAGCCCTTGTTCCATCCACCTTTAGGCCATTTCCACACCCTATGAGGCTGGTTGCCTCTGGGTCACATGGTGCAGGTGTGTGAAGTACCAGTGGGTCCCAGGGTCCTGAGCCAGTTTCTCAGCTCCTTCACTGTGGAGCAGGACCCTGACCAAACCCTATGCTGTGCTGGGGAGTCAGACACTCTGCAAGTCCCCAGATAGTGCTTCTTGGTGAACAGGCCATCTACCCCAAGGTGGAAGGGAGACAAAGTTGTCGCCTTGCTTCCAAGTGTCCAGTGACGTACTTAGGTTCAGTGTTCATCTTTGTTGCATTCAGAGGCATCAGTAGCCAGACCTGCTTTGGTGCTTTGGTAAGTGGGTGAACATGCTCTCTGGCCCATGTGTCACCCCTGGGACTTGCTTAATGGGATCTCAATGCATTGTGATTCTAAAACCTACTGGTAATCTCCTAGTGTGGCTACAGTTAGTTTGGGAGGATACAGAACTCTAATAGCTGATGGGATTAAGGTGAACACTTAGATGAACACTAGAATGCTTGAACAGACTCTGTGAAGCGGTTGCACCGCCTTGACTTGAATCTATTATGAGGACAGACACCATGTCTGACTAGGGAACGCTTCCCCTGCTTACCTGCAAAACAGAAGACATGTAAATTTATCCTTCAGGCAATATTGGATACTGGTGGACAAAACATGTTAGAAAACTAGCAACTAGTCAGTTTATTTGAGTTTTGGAGGACACATATTCCATATCTGGGAACACTGCTAGCTCTTACTCATGAAACTGATCAAAAGAAGGCCTGAAGTCCTCCTGCAAACTGGGGCTTATGACAAAGCCTATGAGTGCCACCCAGGAGTGACCACTAGGATTTGGGTCCAGAAATTTTCCATTTGAGAGACAATTACACGTTAGACATGGACCTTGACTGGGACTGCTCTTCTGACTGAAAGCTGTAAAATAATCTGAAATACCCATGTCTTGGGTGATGTTAAGGAAATACCCTAATGGGGAGGGCAGTGTCCAGAAGAGTTCTGTAATAAAATGAAAAAAGTTTTTGCAGGAAGATGCTACCAGGGGAATGCTATAAGGTACTTGGCATAATCACAAACAAAAAGATTTCTCCCCTATGGCTGACTTTGGAATCATCTGAGGTTCTACCTGAGGAGCTGCAAGATCCTATAGTCATTTGGGTGATACCCTATGAAAGCTCTTGATCAAAAAAGAGCTGTTTGGTTTATGAATGGTAGTTTCAAGGTATATGGACAGCATCCTGTTGGAATGCTACCTCTGATGGAAGAAAGTAAAAACAAGTTGGCAGAGTAGGCTGACTTGCATGCTATTTGCCCCATGTTTGGTTTTTCATTGACTCATGGGTGATGGCTAATGGTGTGGTCTGGAAGAAGGGCAATGAAAACCTGGTCTACTAAAGGGATGCCTATGTGGACCCAGCTCTATGGAAATCACTAGGGGGATTTGAGGGGTGCATTAAAATAGGACATGTTGATGCCCATCAAAAGAACTCCCTTCTAGGATCAGAAAGTGATTGGAATTAACAAGCAGGTGGCCACCCTGGTCCATGAAACAAGTGGAAATTTGGAGGCAGTAGCAATGCAGTAACTGGTTGAAGCTAGACATACTCTTCTTGCCTGCTCTGAAGCACAAAATGTCAACAAGTGTCTTGTCAATTAAGAGACAAAAACTACAGATGGCCATGAGCAGATTCCCCAGGGGAAAGTTCCTGCCCACTGCTGGTGAATGGCCTAATTATGAAAGCCCCAGGACACTGCGAATGAGTCTGGACTGAGTTTTGTATGCCTAGCCCAGTGGTTAGTGGAAATGCCCACAATATTGTCAAGAGTTACCGGCACAGGAGATAGTGTGCCAATTTGGACTGCCAACTCACATTTCTTCAGACTAAAGGAACATCCTTTACAGCCCACAGGGTCCAATAATGGGTAGATCTTCCTTGGGATAATAGCTAGATAGAAAACTAGAACTGGCAATTGAAACCCTGGTCAACTAAGGGTGGAAGATATGCAGGCTGACATGTGATCACAAGTGTGAGCTCCCGCTCACCATGATGGGGGCCTTTGGAACATGTCATATTAGTTCAGACCTCCAGAAAGTACAGTAAAGGTCAGCCACACTGACAGTATATTACTGAGCTCCAATAAAAATGCTGGACATCAAAGACTCTCTGGTTGGCAACACTCTGTGCTGACTGCTACTAACCTCATTACAGAAGACTGATGCATCCTGAGGACATGGGAGTCTGGCATTTCAAAGTAAGGATGGTTATGGGGACCCCAATCTTGTGTCTGGCAATTGAAGTGATGGTCTCATAAGGATTAGTTTCCCAAACTATACCTTGCCAAACTCCTTGCAAGGCTAGAATTCTAGAAGCACTGAACTTTGTAAGATATGAGATCAGAAGGAAAATTGTTTTCTGAGAGCCCTGGGTGAGCGGGCACTAAGCTGGAAGCTTTATGTGTCCTGATTCTTTTGGTATGGCAGCCCTGTGAGGGAAGAAATGTAGGGATCTGCTGAGGCAGATGAAACCCAGGGAGGTGATGTCACTTACCCAAGGTCTCACCAGAAGTACCTGAAGACCTAGGGGAAGGACCCAGGACCCAGGAAGTCTGTTGTAGGCCTGATGGGGCCTCTGCCAGCCAGCCAAGTGCTACCCATCATCTCTTGCTGGTGTCCCCAACCCGCCTCTTAAATGAAAGTCCATTCCCTACTGATCTCTGCCCATTAAGTGACCATGTCTGACAGATTTGCTAGCTCTGGTTTTCCTAAACACCAGAGAAACAGAAGGAACAGAGGCAGCTGGGCCAATGAGAAAGAAGTCCTGGCTTCTGCCACGTGTCCTTGGGGCCAGGGCCAGTAAGGAGCAGGGATGGATAAAAGGGCATGAGCTGTGGGCCTTCCATGGCAGGCTTAAGGCCACAGGCTTTGAGGTTGGCTCATACCTGTGGTTAAAAAGTTTTATTTAATCACTTCTTAAAACTGGGAGATTTTACATCTAAATGTACTTTGGGAACTTGCCTTGAAGAGTGAGAACATCTGGCCATCTGAGTCCAGGTCCCCAGAAGGCAGCAGTTGCCGGAGCTGTGAATCACCGACCCTCCACACAGGGCATGTGCACCACACACTTTAATAGTTTTCACATCACAAGCCGGAGCAAGTGGCACTGTGAATGTGCAAACACACATACACATGCACTGCTGTTTCGGGACCCAAGTCTTCCCTTCACCAGGTATGAAAGACTCTGAGACTATCCATCCTACTTCATTTTTTAAATGCTGTCTACCATCCACTATGTCCACTACATACAAGACCCATGGAATGACACACTGCTTACATTCTGAAATCCACTGGCTTGAAGAAAGAGGCAAGGGCAATGGCAGAAGTGAGCCTCAGACCTGGGTCCAAATGTCCATGTGGACCTCGGCATGTGCCTTCTTTCAGGCCTCAGTTTCCCCACTCCTCCTTTATCCCAGCCTCAAAGCCCCCAGAAACCTATAATAGAGACAAAAGATGAATTCTCTCATCCTTCAGGTTTCTGCCCAAGTCCAATGTATAACCTGATGTGCTCAGGACTCAGTGACAGGGACCAGTAGTAGAGTTGCTGGAGAATGTGACATACCAGCCAAGGTC